GTGGCCCATCCAGGGATGATACTTTGCGAACCACTGGATACCTCAATGTTGTCAAGCCTGCCTGATGAGAAAAGTCACCTGAAGGAGTTTATTTCTCAGAAATAAAAATTCCCAGGTCTCATGCCATTTTCTGACTCATGACCTTCAGGGAAGGGACTAAGGTTTTCTATTTTAACAAACTCTGGGTGATTAGTATGATGAGGCAAGTTTGGGCAACGCTATACCAAATCTCTTCGAGCTCCATTTTAGCATCTGTCATTTTTCCCGTGGGTGAGTTTTCCAATGTGGCAGTAGTTGTGTGATAAGTTAAGAGTAGCACAATCACTGGGTTTTGTAAGCCTAATGTGATGGCCCTACAGGCCAACCATAGAACCCCACTCCTTCATCTCATTAACAGTTTCCTTGGGAGACAGTGTTAATGCCAAATGGCTCTGGTACCATAATTCAGTCCAGAGACCATCCTGAAACAGCCTCAGGTGATACAGCTTTTCTTGGCAATTCTCCCACTGCTCTTTAGCTCCTTCTTATCTTATAGACTGAATCCTGCTCTGAATATCAATAAGGACTCTTGCTTCAGGCTGTTTTAAAATAATGGCCTCATACTTATCATCTTTAATCTTCACAGCAAATTTACAATTTAAGTGTCTCTTTTACAAATAAGAAAACTGAGGCTAAATGAGATTAAATATAGACATTTTCAAGGTCATTCTCACAAGGTTGTGTGTCACTCTTTCTCAGTTTTGTCTGCTACTTCTGTTCGTAGATATAGGGTTGAAATTCAGCTCCTATGCCAAGGTAAGAAATGACATAGTTGACTAAAAGACAAGTTATTTTATTTAACAGGCCTATATTTATCTTTTTTTTTCCTAAGAGCAATCATCTCATATTTAATGAATATTTACAATTGTTTTCTTCCATAAGTCTAAAGAAGACAAATTTAAAGGGTGACCAAATGACACAATCTTAAAGAGCAAAAGTAAATAGAAAATCAACTCTCAGTCCTTACCTATAGTGTGCATACCTGGTTGTCTGACATCACTGACAGAGACTGCAATCAGGTGACTTAGACTCTCAATCAAGTTTTTATTAGCAACTATGTGCTTAGCACTCTGCTGGACTCTACAGGTATAAGAGATAGGTACAGGTCCGGCCCACAAGGAGTTTACAATATGATTGAGTATTTAAAAAAAAAACTATAAATGCTCTTAAAAATACATATAGTACAAATTATTTTTATATAAAAAAATTGGAGATAATAGAAACAAAATAAAACCTTAGGGCAAAAATGAAACAGAAAACTTTTTTATCCATGGGATGAGCATAGAGATATTTTGAACTAACAATAAATTCAGTAATAGCCTGGATTAATGGAAAATGTGAGCACAAACATTTTAAAGACAGCAACAGAACATTTTAGCATTCATTGTAATTAAAAGTATGTCAACCAAGGTATATTTTACACAGATTCTTAAGGTTACTTAATAATTACAATCACCTTAACAGCAGATTGCTTTTGAATGTGCTTCCAATCATTAAGGATGTTGATAAATTTTGTTCCCTTAAGTAGTTTATATGGCTCACCTATCCTTATAACCTGGATTTCATCATCACTTATTTAATTTTTAAAAGTCCTTCTTGTAGATAATAAAAATGTAAATAAATTCAACTTTCTGAATTCTTATATATTTCATAGACTAAAGTCCACTTGTAAGACACATACACACATTTACATATAAAAGGTAATGTCTCTAATTTTCTCCTCCTTCACTGAGTGAGAATTTAGATAAATATAGCTTCTGATGGAAGCTCAATCTTCTAACTCTAACATTTTCCTGATTTTTTAAAAAAATCTTTCTCTAGCTCTAAGATCCATGGCTTGACACACCTCTTTGCATCACCCTAGCAACTCATCCTTTTTTGGGGAGCAGCACAACTGGAGTTTTTTGTTTGTTTTGTTTTGCACTGAGTTGCAGTGGTGCTGAATAAAAGCACTGGTTCTGCAATAGGATGAAGGTGGAAATATGTAGGAGTTCATTTCTTCCAATGCAAAAGTTATAGGTCTAAAATTATACCTCTATATTATATGTAGTTAAGAACTGGGTCTATCCAACCCACTTATAAAGCATATTAATACCACATATTTGTTTCATATATGGATCCCATAGAGCTTTTCAGTAATTACTGTAATTACAATAAAATGTACTGTTTCTACACATGTAACATTTTTTACAGCGTTCCTAAGAAATTTATTTTGAGGTTTAATTCTATCCTCAATATAACCCCAATATACAATATAAAGATCGGTGTTTATTTAGGGCAATAAAGAAAACAAAGATGATTTTTAACACTTGTTAAAAATCAATGTGTTACTGAATCGTGATCCAGAATATTTGATGTTACAGACCTTATTGTTTTGGGTGAATTTAGTATACAATGGATACTTTTCTGAAAATTAGAAAGTATTGAAAGTATTTTATGCTGACATATGCTGCCTCTATACCAGATTTCAAAATCATTGGACAAAGGTCATTCCTAATTGAGAAAAACCTTTACCAAATAGTCATTATTTTTTACATATTTCCAATCATTTTGTTACTTTATTACTTTCACATGTAGAGCTTCGATAAACATTATATCAAACTGTCTGTAATTATTCTGCCTGGATGTAACATTTTTAAATCAAGAAAGTTTAATATGAAAATTCCTAACTTGAACAAAAACATGGAAACAAAGAGCTTTCTATCACATTTGCTGAAATTTTCAATGGCTGATCTCATACATAAATTGTTCCTTTGTTGAGAATTTACCAAATAAATAGCATCTTTCTTCGTGTTGAGTACTGCGCTAGTACTAATGAAGAAAATATAAGAGTCGACCACCATGAAATAAAATTTTGTCAAGGGAAAAAGAAATACATAATAAAAATATTTAAGAAATAATAAAATACTTTTCAAAATGAGCACTATATGACTTCAGAGTTGTGGATAGAGGAAAGAAGAGAGCAAAGGTACTTAAATTGTTCAAGGCTTAAGGACAAGGTGAGATTTGAACATGTGAGAGATGAGTATGTTTTGCATAGGCAAAAATAATCATGAGGTATTTTACACAAACATAACAGCCAGGGATCTGAAGTTGATTCTGCCCATGACATTTATACTGACAATAAGGAAGCCAGTTTAAAGTTGAAATTGAGCACTCATATCATATAGTTGGAGATATGTCTGGATAAAGAATTAATCACAGTTAATACTTAATGAGTGCATTTATGTTATACTGACTTTACATACATTATCACAATAACCTCACAGGTAAATATTTTTAGCTTTGGTTTATAGATTAATTCATTGAGACTCCATGAGATTGATTAACTCTCTCAAGGTCACAGAGCTAGTGAATAAAACAGCCAGATTTAAATTCAAGTTTGATTAGTGCCTACATTGCTACATGACATTGTCTTATAAGTGAAATATCATTATAGCAAATCTCAAATCTTACTGTGCTATGGGGAAACCGGGAATCAAAATACTTAAACTTGGATTTGGTTTCTTATATTAGCCATGTAACATTGGACAAGCCCTCTGTAAACTTTACTTTCTTTTGTAAAAATAAAATAATAGCTAGATGACAGCTAGACAGTCACAAAGATGGATGATGGACAGACTGATGGACAGAAGCATGGACATGCCTGTGACTGGAAAATTCAACTTGCTCAATAAAATGTATTGCACTTAAACCTGAATTAAGGGCTTGTGTACGTCATCTGCTTTGTGGTAGTTATTAAGGCCATTTCAAATACAGATTTGAATGAAAAGAATTGTAGTTTATAACTAATTCACAACTGGTTCAACTATTTAAGAGGAATGACTTGACTATTTTGGCTTAATTTAGTTGGCAGAAATGACAATGGAGTCACAGCATTAGCTCCTATGGCTGATGATACTATATTATCATCTCTTCCCAAGATGTCCTTGTAGGTGACAGCATGGCCCATACTTAGCACAGTTCCTGAAGAAGGGACACTTAAAAAATACAGTATGTGTTGAGTAAAATAAACAAGAAGAGGAAAGGGAAGAAGGAAGAGAAGAGGACAGAGAGATGAGAGAAAGAAAGGATGGTTGAATTTGTAGGCAAGTAAGATCATATTGCTGAAGGATAATATGATATAAAGTGGGTTTTTTTGAATTCTACAGAATTTCTTATTTCAATTCAGATAAATTAGATTCCTTCCCTTCATAAAAGGTCATAAAATTTGATATTTAATAACTATATCACTTACTAACTTTGCCTTTTTTGTGCCACCAGAGAATAAATTTTAAGAAATACTAAATTGATAGTGGTGAACCAAAAGGTTGTGCTTGGATGTTTTAATGCTTTAACTCAGTAGTTTATCACCTAACCTTATTAATGTTTTTTATGACACTTCAAAAGAGCCCTTAGCTACATCACTCCTTTCAGTTTTCAAAGACAGAAATAAGAATTAAACTGATTCTTGAGTTACTAAATGACACATAGCCCAAATATAGATGTAGGGACTTTGAGTTCCAAGCTTGGCCTGGAAGGACACAACATCTCAAATAATCATATATTTTGCATAAATAACTTTTGCTTCCAATTAGCATACTTTTCTATCTCATTACATTTCTGTCCTATTAATTGAATTCTGCTTTCAATATGTTGACTTTACATTGTCAAAAATTTACACTGATTTTTTAAACTCATACTATAAAATCAAAACAACCACAAAATGTAAAGATGTCCACATCAGTTTAAATTCCGATAGAAGTTTTAAGTTGGGGACAAAATCCCAGAAGATGGGGGCTTTTTTTAATCACTTTTTCATTAATCACCATCTGTGAAATTCTGTCCAGCTTCTTAAATACATACTCAAAATTCATCTCCAGAAATCAATTTAAAGGGTGAAATCAAGGAACATGTATAAAGGACCCATGGACAAGGACAATGGAGAGGGGGAGGATTGAATGTGGTGGGGGGCAGGGCAGGGGAGAGCAATGGGGCAAAAATGGGGACAGCGGTCATTGAACAAAATAAAAGAATTTAAAAAAAGAAGTCAACACTAGTAGGCATAGGTTACAATAATACACTTATTTTCAGTGAGTATTATCTAAAAATAATTAAAATAAAAAAGATAAAAATGAAAAATGAATCCAAATCAAAATATAAAATTCTTCTTCTCAGGTGGGAAGAAATACTCAAATTCAGGGAGGCAGGAATTGTAAGAAAAGTCCATCTCCATTCTTTCAGTGTCTGTTAGAATAGAGAGAGAAAGACGTAATAAGCATAAATAGGGATACTTTTTTGTATGGTATGAGAAGTAATATGTAAGTAAGAAATATAAATGTCTTAGACATCAACACATTCTAGTTTGAAGTAATGATATGTAAGTTTTGAAAATTGAGTAATTTAACTCTGGATTTTGAATCACTTAAGCCTCTGTCATTTAATTATGGTAAGTATATGCTTTTTTCCTGAGTAATTTTTCTGGTTCCAAGTTTCTAATCCAGAAGAATAATCAAATCATGAAGCTATATTAATTGAAAACACATCAAATCACCAAGTAACTTGCCATAAAAAAAACCCTAATCATTATATATATAACTATACACTAAAAAGGTATAAGGAGGAATACAAATTGAAATAGACACAATCTACAATTTTTCTCCAATCAAACCAACAAAATAGTGTGTGTGTGTGTGTGTGTGTGTTTAAAATAATACTCAATGCTGGTTATGTTAAAGCAAAGCAGAAACTCTCTTTCATTGCTGAGGGAATTTTAAATATCTATAATTCTTTTGGACAGAAGTCAGACTATATGCATCTTTAAAGAGTATAATATTGTTACAAAGTATTTATTCTTTAAGGTAAACTTTTAGTTTTAAAAAACACCAAATATATTAAAGAAAAACCTCTGCATTTGAATTTTGGGTTATGATATAGTTCTGTTCATCATGGTGGCAATTTGAACACAGAATATGATTAAGTAAACTATAGTGTATCCTTTTAATAGACTATTATATAAGCATTAAAATTAGTCTTTAAACAATTTGTAAATAGTATAAGGAATGCTTATTTTATATTAAAAGAAATAAAATCAAGAGACAATAATACATATATAATATTATCATAAGTATGTAAAACAAAATCAAGAAAATTGCGGAAGAAAAGTATACTAAAATGATGATAGAGTTTTCTTGAGTAGGGGAAGTAAAGTTCAGTAAGCTGCTTTTCTTCCTAATATTCTTTATTTTCCAAATTTTCTGGAGACAGCCTGGATTATTTTTATGAAAAAAGAATGAAGTATGATGAGAAGAATGTTTAACAAGTGGTACTCTAAAAAATTAAAAATGAAATTATAGTACCCCTACCAAAAAGGAGATAAGAAGTGAATATCTCCCTTCCTTTCCCCTCACTTGTTTTCCAGGAGAATCGCTGTTTATAACAAAACAGTGCCCAGGCTATGTGCACTACATGTTTATATTTAGGGAAAGGATATAGGACTATATAAGGTGAGTTGAGAAAATTTTTTTGGCCTGAAACATGATTTTTAATCTATGTTTCAGGATCAACCAGTTTATTTTTATCCTTTAGGCCCTGTTGCATACTATGTCTCTATTGAAAAACACATTTAGATCTTTCCCTGAAGAACAAAAGTGATTATTTTTCAGTTATCTCAACCATGGGAGAACAAATGACCAAAGAAATTGAACTACTTGAATGTCTACATCTATCATAATAACATACTGATTAGAGGAGTTATTGTATACAGATTTATCCAGGAAATGAATAAAATGAACATGCTGACTTTTCATTAAAGTGAAGAGTTCAACATATGCAGAAAGTTAAGTGCAGAACTTTTCACATCATCTCACTAAAATGAAAAAAGATGCCACAATGCCATAATACCCAGAAAGCTATTCATTCAGTTACGCTTACAGTCAATAACAGAAATATTGAAAAGATGGGTTTGAGGGAGGATAGCCAAATGCTCAAAATTTAAAATGATCAACCATATACCATATTTGGCATTATGTTCTGTTGCTTAGAGTGTTCATTCATTGAATTACATGTATTATATAAAATAGATCTAATCAATACAATATACAGATAATATATTATAGAATTGTATACCTGAAACCTATATAATTTTATTAATCAATGTCACTCCAATAAATTCAATTAAAAAGAAAGGGAAAAAGTTACAACTCTTTAAATATCTAATATCAGATAAAAATATATAAATAATGATACACTCATCAGTAGGATATTATAGTCATTAATGTCTTTACAGATGTAGAATATTTTTGAATAATTGGTAACTATACCATGTCTTCATTATATGTATGTTACTAAAAAATACATGTATTTCATAGTAAAATGCTTTTTTCAACCAAATGAACACATATTCTGAAAAGCAGCCCTAAAAATGATTGGGAGAATACACAAAATATTTAAGAGAAATAAAATGCCAATCAAAGCTCCTTTTCAACTAGAGTTGGGTACCCACTGTGCTTGGTAGAGAAGAGGCTGGGTAAAGAGTGTAGATATATGTTACCATCTGGATAACAATTTTATTGGTAATGCCCTTTTTTAACTTTTATCTAGCAATATCTATTAAAATATATACATGTTTGGAAAGAAAACTGTCATGGTCCTGGAATGCTTTTTACTGTTACAGAACTGTCATATTGACATCTAATTTGGTTTTTTCAGTGAATTCAAAATAAAAATGGCATCAAAAAAACAGATCTAATCAGAAGGTCAAGCAAGAGTGTGCTACTATATGAAGAATACTCTGAGTCCTGGTGTCTGATTTGAACAAATGTAGCTTTTCCTTAAAATGCTCTCTGAAACTATTCTTACTATGAAAATCAGTAGCATGAAAATTGATCAGTCACAAGATCAGACTGGACCCAATTTCAGAAAGTTCATAGTTCGAGGAAATTTATGTGAAGTTACTAAAAAACAATAACTCTTCTAAGGAATCTAGACCTCAGTCAGGTATATGTGCTTAATCTCCATTTTATTCTTAGAGATACTCTGTGGTTGTAACACAAACTGAGATCAGAACAGGGAAACCCAGACAGCTTCTAAATCTCACCTTTCCAAATGGTCACTCCACATCAAGGTTGAGGAGCACTGGTGGGGTAAGGAGGTGGAGCTGGATGCATAGTTCTTTGTGTGGTTCCTGATCTGTGAACAGAGAGGGTTTCAGTGGACAGAATTGTTCATTACATCTCCTTGGTTGGATGACACTTTCTTGAACATTTTCACAGAAAAGCAAAACCCAAATCTGCACATCGGCTCCCATTGGCTAAGTGAAGATGCTTTAGCTATTCTCTTCCCAAGACTCTCTCATTTCTGACTCCATGCTTTAACCTACACTTTACTTCTTCTCAAACTTTCACAACAGATGCTAGAGGGTGGAGGCCATGTCTAAGATGAATTCTAAATCCTTAGAGCAATTACACAGCACTTGTTAAATGCTGAATGAAAACTCATTGACTTCAAATGATTGGTGTGGGTAAGTCTAATTCTACCACTCTCCCGCTCTCAGTGACTTCCTGTTACTCTTAGGATAAAGACCGGACTTTTTAATGTGACCTCAAAAGTCCTGTTTGATGTAGCCTCTGGCTGCAACTCCAGCTTTGTTTTGAAACTTTTGTCCTTTGCTCTTGTGTGTTTAGGCAACACTAGCCTTCTATGAACTTCTTAAGCAGTGTCAGCCTCCTTTCTACCTGAGGGCTTTGAACTTGAAGCTTCCTCCACCTAGAGTGCTCTTCCATTCCCTCATCACCTGGCTGACTTTCACTTATTTTTCAGAGCTCAACTTGAAAAATCACTTCCACAGGGAATATCCTGTTGACTAGGACTTAATCCCCCACTATGGAATATCAACTATTTTCTCCTCATGAGCTTATGGTAGTTTGAAACTCATAGTTATTTGTGTGATTATTTGTCTAATATTTGTCATTATCACTAAAAACAAGTTTTGTGAGAGGATAAACCATGCCTGGTTTTGTTTACCACTGTGTCTCCAGTAGCTACCACAGTGTCTGGCACATAGGTCACGGTCAATAAGTGTTTGTGGCGTACATCACCCTGAAGTCAGTCCTTTAACAGAAATCTCCAATTATTGGCAATGAATTGGCACCCAATTCATTGGGTGCCATAAAAATATTAAGAAAAAAACACCTGAAAAATATTTCCTTTTAATATATTTCTCAGTAATTCTCTTATAAGAAATAGCAGATTGAAATTAAATTCTTACTAAAAAAATTGTTACAAGAAAAGCAGAAGTAAATAAATTCAATGTTTCCTTAGTTAATCATCTTTATTGGATTTCTAGAATCTGTTTTTTTCTCAAAAGTTTAATTAGCATCATTTTAAATAGCATCCCCATTCCAAATAGTATAACATTACATAAGATGTCCAGACAGACATGTGGTTCTCCAGTTCTTGACTGTATTAAGCAAATACATAATTTCTGTTTTAGGAAGGCAGTGTGTTTGGAAGGAAAATAAAATGGCATGTCTTCTTTGCAACAAAAATTACACTTTTGCCAACATCTATTTCAGAGCAAACAGGAAAATTTTAGTGGCACTTTTTATAGAAATAGTGTGGTTCTGGAAGAGTTGAGGTCAGAGTAGAAAAAACAAACAGGTGTTCCTATTTATTCTCTGAGGCTTTCAGAATCCCCCATGGGCCCTTGTATGAGAAGGCCCTTCACATGTTAAGGAATGATCTGGTTAGATCGGGTTACCTGCACTAGAAGACCACTAGGTTTCTCTTCTTGCTATTAATCTACTTTGATTTTTATTTAGAAGCCTACTTTAACTAAGTAAATGCACTTGAGATTGCATTATTTGTTAGTTTAACTTTAGGAGCAGATACAACTATAGGAATTTGAATATCATGGGACTGCACAATGTCAAGTAGCAGAAAAAGAAGGAACTAAAAAAAATGAGGCACGGCAAGGCAATGTATGAGGAGCCAGGAGTTCTGAAGTGTGGTATGGTTCCCCATTACTTCTCCAGTGAGCCCTTTTTTCTTTCTTTTTCTTTTTTAGTCTCACCTGAGGATATGTTGATTGGTTTTAGAGAGGGAAAAATGGAGAGAGAGAGAGAGAGAGAGAGAGAGAGAAACATTGATCAGTTGCTTCCCATATGTGCCCTGATTGGGTATCAAACTTGCAACCTAGGTATATGCCCTGACCAGGAATCAAACCTACAGACTTTTGGTGTACATGACAATGTTCCAACTGAGATGCCTGGCCAGGGAGAGTGCTGTTTTCTTTATGGATATGCTTCATAATTACTCCCATCAATTTCATGAGAAAAATTTGCTTCGCTGTCACACCTAATTTCTGCAACTTACTACACACCATAGATCACTCATTTTATGCAAATTTTCTTTCTTATGTGTCTCTTTTATTTTGCTCCTTGTCTGCAGTCTTTGTTCCTCTTTCTTCTTGGCTAGTGTATTAGTTTGAAGAGTATGAGATTGTCATTTTTGTTGGGTCAAAATGATTGGATATTGGAAATTATATATGATTTAACCTAATGGCAGCCTTCTAACAAATTAGTGATTCTGACTAGAGTCTTCTCTCAAATATATCCTTCATATTGTTTCCAAGGCTATCCTTAGCATTCCTAAATATCTTTGAAGCTTCCTCATGCTACGGGATAAAGTTCTAAAATATCTAAGGCCCATCGCTGAGCGGCTCTAACCTAGACCTCCAGGTTTGTCTCTTGCCTCTCCTCTTCATATAAACTCTCTTTTGATTCACTAAACTACTCTTCAAGAAAGCCTCCAATGCTCTTTAACACCTAGTTACTGTAGGGTTTGCTATTCTCTTTCTAAAATGCCTCTCTTTACTTCTCTTCAGAAGTAATTCAACTTATCCTCTGAGACCCAGCCTTTCAATTTCTTGGGTATCATCCTTCCTATCATATTTGCATTGTGTTGTGTGCATTACTCGAGATGTACTTATCATATTGTACTTATTAGTCTGTCAGTTTCTCATACTCTCAGAGTAAGAGCCCAGTAAAGGTTTGTGAATTAAATAGAATTCTAAGCAATTGATTGGTTCTCTTCAACGGTCAGTATTATGAAGCCAAGGGCTGTCCAAACCTTGCAGCACACATAAAAACTTACGAGGTATAAGGCACTTTACAAGATCTGATTACATGCTCATATTTGAAAAGTTTCCTTGGGCTCTAGAGATGTGTAGTCTGTATATGGTCCATAGACAACCTTGAGAATATCCATCCATGGTAACCTCTCAGCTAACTATATAACATTCTTCTTCACTAGACTGGGGAAAAAACACTTAGAGACACCGAGTATGCTTTTTTGAATGAATGAGTGAATGAATGAATGAATAACAGATAATGACTATTTTAGACTGCGTATTGCCAGCCTTAGATCCTAAGCCAAGGATTTTTATGCCAGTGACTTATTGAAAACATGCTCCTAGAAGAAACAGTAAGGGAGTGGGGACATAGAACAGAGAAGGAGAGGAAGCCAAGCAAGGGTGAAATTTTAGGTGATTCTAACTTCAGTCCGAACCTTTGGGAAATTCAGGAGTATAAATTACACTTCAAAGTTTATCTTATCTCTAGACAAGGGTTCTGGGCTTTTCAGCCATTGCTGCTTTAGGGAGGAATAAAGCCCTTAGGCTCTTCTGGCTCTGTCCGCGGTGAGCCTCCGAAGGTCCCAGTGGGAGCAGTTAGCAGTGAAACAAGCAGAAGCTGGGGATTAGTGCACAGAACTAATACGTGGGATCTGAGAGGTTCAGGATAGGTCCAATTGTGCAGGATACACTTTCAAGTAAATATTTGGCAAGGTAAATTTATTTGGTAGAAGAGAAGGCTGCCCATGTGCATAGATTGAGGAACTCTGGGAAGGGTATCCTGTAAAAAATAATTTTCTCCACTCCTGCTGCTGATGCCTGAAATCCTCTTAGCTAGGGACAAAACTTTGTCATCTGTACTGAGAAGCAACATTTAAGAAGGGAATTACCCCTGAAACACCAATTCAAAAGAACCTATGTACCCCAATGTCTATAGCAGCACCAGTATTGGAGCAACCTAAGGGCCCAACAGAAAATGAGTGGATCAAAAAACTATGGCATATTTACACAATGAAATACTATGCAGCAGAAAGAAAGAGCTACTACCCTTTGCATTGCAACAGCATGGGTGGAACTGGAGAGCATCATGCTAAGTGAAATAAGCCAGGAGGTGAAAGATAAAAACCATATGATCTCACCTATAAGTGGAAACTAATCAACAAAACAAACAAGCAAGCAAAATATAACCAGCAATGTTGAAATAAAAAACAAACTGACAGTAACCAGGGAGGATGGGGGAGGGAGGTAGGGGGGGAGAGAAGGGAACGGGTCAAGTCAAGGAACATGTATAAAGGACCCATGGTCAAAGCCAAAGTGGGGAAGGATTGAGGGTGAGGAGTGGGCGGGGTGGGGCAGGGGAAACTGGTGGCAGGAAAATGGACACAACTGTACTTGAACAATGATAAGAAAAAATAGTTTTAAAAAAATAAGTAAAAAAAAAAAAGAATTACCTTGGGTAGAAGGGAGAAAAAGTAGAAACATTATGCAGAGCTCACCCTATGTCAGGTGATGCCAAACTCCTTTACATTTTATTCCATTTAACATTGTACCCCTTTAATATACTGACTTCCATCCACACAAGAGTAGGGGTCTTTCCTGAGAATGTAGGATATACAGGCTTAACCGTCCTCTCTTAGACATCTCAGGGCTTACCACCATAAAGACGGTACCCCTTATGGTCTGTGTGGTGCCCAAGATCTTCTGGCTCAAAAAAAATCCTCTTCCTCTTAATTGTAGCTGAACTCATTGCTCTTCTGTGGTGTTCCCAAGTTGCCAAATATTTATGATACCCAGTCTGCTGACAAACTGGTCCTCTCTCTGGATATGAAAGATTTCAGTTAATACAGCTTTATTTACTAAGCAAATGTTACAGGATATTCTTAAAGATTCCAGTTAAGACTACGTGTGTGTGTCTATGAGAGAGAATGAGACAGAGGAAGAGAGAGAGATCTCTGATTTGAATCTGACTCTTGGACAGAACTACTTTTTGTGGCAATTGTGGTAAAAAGATTGAAATATGAGTGCTCACATTTCATAATTGGTCGACTGCCATGGCTTG